GGATGCTGCCAGCACTGCTGCCGCTGGCCCGCGAGCGCTTCTCCAGCTGCTCCATGTCCAGGTCGAGGGTGTCGCTGATGTATGACTCCCGGTACTGCTTCTTCTCTGCGAGGCCAGCGGCACACTGTCGGCAGGCAGCAGCCCGCACCCCAAGCCCCCAGGGCACCCTGCTCCCCAACCCCGGATGGGCACGGCCCCCCTGCCCTGGCACCCAGGGGCACCCAAGGGCACCGTCACCCAAGCCCAGCAGGGTGGCACACCAGGAGCCAGCCCTGTCCTGGTGGCATTTGGGAATGGTGAGGTGGGGTGGGGAGCCTCGAACCTGCTGGGCTCTGTGCTGTGCCATCCCTCCAAAGGAGGAGAAGGAGGAGGAAGAAGAGGAAGAAGAGGAAAAGGAAGAGGAGGAAGAAGAGGAGGAGAAGGAGGAAGAGAAGGAGGAGGAGGAAGAGAAGGAGGAGGAGGAGAAGGTGAAGGAGGAGGAGGAAGAGGAAGAAGATGACAATGAGGAAGGAGAGGATGAGGAGGAAGAGGAGGAAGAGGAGGAAGAGGAAAAGGAAGAGGAGGAGAACGAAGAGGATGACAACAAGGAGGAATAAGATGAGGAGGAAGTGGAGGAAGAGAAGGAAGAAAATGAGGAGGAAGAATAGGAGGAGGAGAGGAGAGAGGAAGACGAGGATGGGAAAGAGGAAGGTGAGGAGGAAGATCTTGCGTTTGCACAGGGCTTTCTGAGCTTGAAGATGGGAGGTGGGGCACTGGGAAGCGCTGCTGTTGAGGCACTGGGAGGAACTGGGCCATCAGGGACCACAGGGGGGCTTGTGCCCATCCCTAAGCAGCTGGGGGGGTCTGTGGGCACCCAGCCCAGCCAGGGGATGGGCACGATGCATGGTTGAGTGGGGCGTGGGGGCAGCCAGCCCTGCCACGGGGCCAGCACTGGGACCAGGCGCTTGTGTGAAGTCGGGTGGGAGCCGGGCATCGGTGGGATTTGCTCCCCGGGGGCGGGGGGGGGCACCTACCCTCGTTCTCCTCCAGCTTGCGGACCTGGCGCAGGACGGGCTGCAGGTTCATGTAGAGGCGGTGGCTGCTGCTGAGCAGCTGCAGGAGGTGGCGGGAGCGCAGCGGGCAGCCCGTGTAGTAGATGAGCTTCCTGGCCGAGGGCAGCCCGTCCGGCAGGATCTCAAACTTCTTGCCCTGCACCGGAGAGGGGGAACGATCAGCTCCGGAGAGAAAAATACTCTCATTCGCATCCAGTCACAGAATCGCAAGGGTTGGAAGGGATCTCAGGAGCTCACCCAGTGCCACCCCCTGCTCAAGCAGGCTCACCCAGAGCATGTTACACAGGACATCGTCCAGGTGGGGTTTGAATGTCTCCAGAGAAGGAGACTCCACAGCCCCCCTGGGCAGCCTGGGCCAGGGCTCCATCACCCTCAGAGTAAAGAAGTTTTTCCTCACATTCAACTGAAACCTCTTCTGCTTCAGTTCGTGCCCATTGCCCCTTGTCCTGTCGCTGGGCACCTCTGAGAAGAGTCTGGCTATTTTCTTATTCTCCACCCTAAGGGTGTTTTT